TTTGACTCACTGAGTAAATTGAAAGGAAAATGCTGGTTTCCCACAGACTATATAATAGAACAGAAAAGTGCGTCGATGATATAATAAAGGGGGGGAGCTCTCCTCAAAGGAAAAAATGAATAAACCTGCAAAATCATAGAGCAAATCTCTATGTCAATTAAAACATCAAAAGTGACCAACACCTTGACATATCCTAATAAAATTATTGAAGTTCTAGAAGGAGAAAAAAACCCACAAGTATCCAGGTAGAAAAAGACGATGACCTAGAATGAGTGTCAAAAAATCAAGCTAACCTCAACTTCTTCCCTGAAACATTAGATTTTAGATGAAAATGAAGCAACATCTACAATATGCTTCTCCTGAAGTCTCAAAGTGCACATTAGCATGGGAAAGCTTCTGCAAAGTCCTGCCATGCATATAAAAAAGAATAATATTAAACACTAAGTTGTTCTCATAGAAGGTGATATTATTATTATTTTACAAAAGAGGACACTGATGCACAGGGAACTTAGTAAACTTCCTGAGGTCACATATCTGAAAGTAGCAGATGCTGTGATTTGTATCATTCGCTTCAGCTCCAGAATCTGTACATTTAGCCACTATGCTGTTTGAAAACTAACAAATCATCTGAAGTGAAAGATAATGTACAAGTACTGTCCCAATGATAGTACTATGGTCAGCCCATTTTGAAAATCTCCTACTCATCTCTCAGGTGCTAGCTTAAACATCAGTCCTTTAGGAAAATCTTCCCTGTGACCTCTTTCAGGCTAGGTTGTCCAGTCAGGGTATAACTAGGAAATGAGAGTTCTCTAGATATTTCAAACAGAGAGGATTTAATAATACAAGGAATCAGTTACAAAGGTGATGAAAACAGCTGTGAAAATAAATAGGGGACTGTGAGGCAAGAGATTTATAACAGCAAGAAGTTGTTATTATCTCTATGGAATAAAAGGACAATGACAACAAGCCATGTTGCCCAGACGGTGGCTGTTCAGAGAAAACCCGGATCACAAAGTGAGGGACTTTCTGATAGGAGCTAGAAAACCCAGAGAAGATGCAGCTATTGCTGGAGAGACAAGAGGAGGCAGATAGAGTAGAGGAGAAATACCCTGGATTCTCCTCCCCATCTTCTAATCTCCTACCAGTACGTCCCATTGGCTGAACTTATCTGAAAGGCATATGTACCAGGTATTGGTACATATAAGGGAAACTGGGTAACATTGTTCCCTATGACACAGAGCAGAACAGGGAAATAATAATGAATACAAATAAATTTCGCCTGTTATAACATCAAAAATTCCCACATATTTCTGTTGTAACATGACTTACCCTTGTATCCATTTGTTTAGTGTTTGCACTTCCCCACATGGCTTCCCCAAAGCCATAGCAATGCACCCTTTAGATCACCCTTCAGGAAAGAACCTTTGTAAGTAGCTGACAGCCTCCATTGGGTTCACCACTCACACCAAGGTCATACTTGGCACTCACACCAAGGTCATATTTTGCCAGGGCTGCTCTTAGTCAATGACTAAGCACAGCAAAAGTATTAGAACTGGGCCATTCCTGGCCTGGGTGGTACCCCTCTAATGAGCAAGTTTTTCTCAGGGCTCCCTACCAGCCTAACTGAGAGTTTCTCAGAGCTATACTATAGACTTAAGCTCTTCTACCCAATCCTCCTCCTTTCCTCTCTTCTTATAACACTGTCAGACCTATATCATGATCCGAGGCTCTCCTCATCTACTCACACTCCTTTCCTTCTTCATGATCTTTCATGAGTATTTCCTCCAATAAATCTTTTGTACTTTTAGTGCCATTTTGGCATATGTTTGCCTAGAAAACCCATCTAACTATAACCTCCTGGAGAGGAGAGAATGTGTAGATCTTGCTCATTGCTATAGTTCCTTCCATGACCCAGTACAATACCCAGTACATAGCTGGTGTTCAATACATATTTCATGAATAATTGTCAAATGTTTGAAGGAATGAACTGACACCACACAATAAATCTGTAGCAATAAGTATTAGTCATGAGTAGATTTGAAACAAGCAATAAGTAATTTGTCTTCAAATGAAGATTCATTATGAGGCATCTTACAGTTTGCAGCTTGCTCTCATACAAAAATAATCCTGTATTAATCATTAAAGTGAGTAATATCCAAATATTCCTGGACTTGACATAAGGGAAAACTCTTAGAATTCTTCCTTGGTTTCTAAGCAAAGCAAGTAACCTGTAAATTGGCATTTCAAAATTTTCAGATTTTCACTATTCACTGAAAAGTGTGTGCATTCAACAGATAGAGAACAAAGAATTCAGACTATATAAGGTCAGAAGACAAGATTATTAAGAAGATTATTCTTGTAGTCAAGAATCTGAACACTATAGAATCTAATTTAACTGCCCCTATCCCTGTAGGCCTTTTATTTGAGCTGCTCCCTTTTCAGAGAGGAAAACATTTAAAATATCTGAGTCAACTGAGATTACTAAAACCAAGCACATAGTACTACAGAGTGCTCACAATTTTCTTTCATTTCATTCTACAAAACCAAAAGCAACATAAGAAGATAAGATGTAAAGGGTCGGGAGAAATAATAGGCATTATGTTAAGTGCCAATCTCTTTTAAAAAGTGTTCTTTGCCACTAACATTAACCCCTTCCTAAGAAAAAAAATCTGAGCTGGGCAAACACTTATGTGTTTTTGTGTGAAATTTCTGGAGAAGTCTAGGCTTACTTTGCTCAGTGAATATGCTTTCATTCACAGTCTCGATGTCTATTATTTTTCTGAAGTTAATTATGTTAACTTAAGAAAAACACAATTGTTCCCTTTGACCCATATTTCTTATAAATTGAAGGTAGATCTACAGGCTTAATGAGATTTGGGTTTTATTTTCGACAAGACTCCTTCCAGAGTGATTCTGTGAACTCCCAGTGGGAATCACATAATGTCCAGTTATCATCCATTTCGTGATGGTAGCAGGCACTGGTGCTAATGCCCAGCTCTATCAAGTAATTAGGAGTTGAAAAATGCTACGAACTCCCAGTGGGAATCGCATAATGTCCAGTTATCATCCATTTTGTGATGGTAGCAGGCACTGGTGCTCAATGCCCAGCTCTATCAGGTAATTAGGAGTTGAAAAATGCTAGTGTAATATTTTTTTATTTATTAACTAGAATATTTTATGAAGAGAAACCATCTCATCAATAATTTGATTACCTCAGGTACAGTTAGTATGGGAAAAAGCAGAAGAAAAACTTGATTCTATTAATTACTAATCAGCTTTCAAAATAGTGAATCAGACTCAAAGAATTCTCCAAAAGTGACTAATAAACTTTTCTTTCTTATTTATTCCAGCATCATTATGAATTTATTTCTTTAAATATGTTTAATATATTTTAATCCATAGGAATGGTTATCTTTATTTGTGCATAAATTAGTTCACCTTTAGCCAGTTTTAACCTGCTTATGTTGATTCCTGAGCCTTTTTGAAATGATCCCAGTAGTCTTTGATAGTGGCTTTACTTTCAAGTATGACAAGATTTCCATGTTCATCTTGTGCATTTCCTGTCCCAGACCTGAAATCAGCCTCTTCTCTAAGAAGTTATGGTTTAAATGTAGCGGCAACTATGAGCTAGTGGTGCTCCTTTGCTGTTTGCTTTGTTCTTTTTTCTAGGCCTTTACAAAGAACAAAGGTAGGAAATATGTAATCTGGAAAAGGATAAAATATATCATGTGTTCATAATGTACTGATATCTGCAATTCACATTCTGGACTGGGGTTTTTATAAGTCTCACATTATAAATTGGTAGTATAGACACGTAATAAGAAAAACCCTGATCTTGGAAAAACTTGACTATCTTGTTTCTTTAAAAAAAGAGAAGAAGATAGACATGAAGACAGAAAGATGGATGAAAATGTTATTGATTAGAAGAGAATAAAACACACCTAAAGAATGGCTAAAAATAAGTATTGGTAAGAATGTGGAGAAATTGGAATCCTATGCACTGTCAATAAGAATGTAAAATGGAATTACTACATTATCCAGCAATTCCACTTTAGGGCACATACCTAAAAGAATTGGAGACAAGGTCTCAAAGAGATTATTTATACACCCACATTCATAACAGTATTATTACAATAACAAAAAGGTGGAGGCAGTTCAAGTGTCCATCAATGGATGAATGAATAAACATTGCACCCCACTCCACAGGCCACCTCCCTATTGGTTCAGTGTTTCTCCAGGTTTTTATGACCCTCACTTCTGGGATGCATTGTGCACCCAATGATGTGCTGTCTCCTTTGACACAGAGAGACATGGGACTCATGCTTAGACTGAGACATTGTCCACAAAAAGGAGCCTAAGCTCACACAAAATTGTGAGGCTGAAATTGGAGGGTGCTGAAAGGATGTGACCTGGAGACCCTAATGCTTCTCCCACAAGAGAACAGACAGGAAATAAGGATACTGGCTGTATATTGATGATACAGAGGAATGAATAAATTTTCCTAGTTGTGATCATTATATCATGATATGTGTAAGAGAGAGAGAGAATTCTTGTTTTATAGCTACATTCTGGAATATTTACAGATAAAGTGAAAAGGAAGTCTGGGATTTGCTCCAAAATAATCAGAGAAGGGAACTTCCTTACTTCAAGGAGGAATACAGAAAGAAAATTGGCCATGAGTTAATACTTGTTGAAGCAAAGTACATAAGTATATGAGGATTCACTACAATATTCTTTATATTTATCTGTGCATTTAAAATTTTCTATAGTAAAATATTTTTTAAAACATAATTGTTTAGCAACACTTGTAAAGATAGCCATCTAACATCACTGAGATCAAAAATGTGTATTTGCCTGTGTAACCTGTTGGTTAGTCATGACAACATTTTCCATTCTCAAATCTTGAGGGGTTTCTTAGATATTCTGAAAAAGGTAGCTTCTGTTTATGAAGTTTGAAAGTGTTTACAATTAAAATCATAATTCAAAAAGACTTAAAATGTTAGTTGCTCATGAACTGTTATTATTTACTACTTACACATTTTTACTTGTTGACTACTACCACAGAATACTATAAGAGTTAAACTTGGCTTTTATGACACCATTTCATTCACTATAGACTGACAAAATCAATACCAAAATAAGAAATCTAATGAGCAAGGCTTCATTGTACTGAGGCCACCAGTTTAAAAATGAAGCATCGTGAGATGGAAAACCTCATCGCATATGCGGTTTCCTCAGAAAACTTAAAAACATCTCTTAAAAGTCAAATAGATACTTTTTCTTACCTTTTCTTGGAGAATTTACTGTTCTGAATTATGCCATTTTACCTATTTCTCCATGGGTTGTAGTTTATTGATCACAAAGCAGCAAAAAACAACTGTTGCTTATTTAATCTGGAAAGAAAATCATTGGAAGGATGTGAAATTGTGTACAGAGTGAATGGAAAAGCTGAGAACCAAGTCTGACAAAGGGCAGAGACTTGAGCAACTTCAGATTTTATGGTAACAGGAACAAGTGGTTACGATCTCAGGGTACTACCATCAGGGTGAATGGCCTAGAATTATTTTCAGGTTTTTGTTCCCTCTGTTCAAGATTCTTTTTCTCTGTAAGTCTCAATGGCAGAGCTTGGGCTGGGGCCCCTCCCTTGGTCTTGATTGACAATCCTAGCATGGCTATATCTATGAGGAAGAGTATTTCCTCAAAACAAAAATAGGACCATAAAGGAGATTGGATAATGCAGGGTGGGCAGACAAAACCAACAGAGACCTCTCCGAATACCCTCACTGAACTGTAAGAGGCTCATATCACTATCCCCAGAACAGAGCTCAGTGTCAGGTTGTGAAATGAGCATAGATGTCAATACTGGACCACAGTGGGTATTGCCAAAAGCACGGACCTGAGATATAGAAAGGCAATGCCATTCAACACAAATTGTCTAAGTTAAATGTTTGGGGAGATAATAGATGAGCCTGAGCAGCTTAGAGAGCCCAACAGAAATAAGATGGGATAAAGAAATGATAAAGAAGTTCACTTTAAGTTGACCATACAACTCCACAGCAATCAGAGGCAGCACATTCTTTTGAACAAAGGTCTGACACGATGAAAGATCAAGGTGCTGCATATACATGTACATCAATTAGATTATTTCTTGATTGATTACTTGAGTCTATACACTGATTTGTATATAAAATCCTCAACTATAAGACAATGCTACATACAATATGAGACTCTGCCAATAGTGACTACAATATTTTCTACTCTGTGTACAGTGAACTATTGATCACATATTGATCTGGTAAGTACATCTCGACATACCTTCATCATTATTATCATTTCGAAATATAAAGGGCAGCAATATTTCGCCATTAGTATGAAAGACTACCATATATTGCAGGACACTGTTAGACAACAGGCATTCTTTATTGAAATTGAAAATGTTATGTGAGCAATTATATAAAACGTGTTAGTGCTTAGCCATGTTTAAATTGACGCTGTAATTCATTAACGTTTACATGCAATTTATAAAAGGTTAAGAGCGCAAAGCTCTTTTTTAAATGCAGGTAACTTTAACAGCAACATACACGCAGGAGTAAATATTTCACACTTCATTCAAGCAAAATGTAATATTGTAAAATGCATTAAAATAATTTTGCACCAGAATTATATGAAAAATAATTTGCTAAAATAATGTTCAGATTCTAAGAGAAATATCAATAAAAATGCTGGACAATTTTAAAACAACCAAAACCTGCTTTCCCAGTCGAGACATAGATCCACTCAAACACCAAGGAAAAAGTTGGATTATACTTTATCCATTATTGGCTTGTTCTGAAGAATTTGAATACTACTGCACTTTTCTATTATTTCTGTTTCTCTACAAAGATGTCTGATCAGCCAATTAAATTAAAGTTGTTTAATAATAGCCTTCTATATATATAAAAGCGCTGGTTGGAGAAACCCATGTTCCAAAAGTATATCCCCTCTCTAATTGTGTTTTATTTGACAATGGTTTCATGGTCTCAGTTAATAGGAGTCCCTAAATGTCGATTCCTTAACTCAAACCAATCTTTCAAAGAAAAAAATTTCCTTAGAGAAGAGAGGAATAAAGGAGAAAGAAAGCCTTTCACACTTAAAGTATGCTCAGGAAATGTTTATTGAATAAACAGTGTCAGGAATCCCAATTTGAGCCTGTGCTGCTACTGTATTTTAGAAAATTCTGTCTGGACATCTCAGGCAAACTAGTAAAGAGGACCTGTCAGAAGTTTATTTGCTTCAGAGGATGAAGAATTTTCCAGAGAAAGCCAACCCTAAGACAATGAAACATGACCCCAAAACAATGACTTGGCTGCTGAGGAGAGGACCCAGACATTGGCACCCACCTCTTTCTATTTCCTCCCCCTGGATACCTGTCTGGCATCCAGGAGGAGACAGAGCTCCAGGTAAAACCCCAATGTCCTGTTTCATAAAACTTCGTACTGATAGAGGTGCCAGATGCTTGTTCCCTAAAAGATTCCAACAAAAAGTGGGAGATCTCATCCTCCATTTTGCGACAGACCATCCTGCAGTTTGGCCACTAAGAGGGTTCTATCTTGTCCTTCGTGTACCTTTTAGGGGGCTGCAGTGCCTGATTTGAGAGCAGAGCAGCCATCTGATGTCTGGGTATCTCGCAGGCACATGTAGAAATACTTGGAATTACCATTTCAGGGGAGCATACCATGTGCCTTGAGCAGGTGATAGTGAGAGCCTGTAAATTTAGAACATTACTGATAATGTGACTCTATTGTACCTACAGATTAGTGAGCCTGAGTCAACTCAGAGAACAAATAAATGAATAAGTCACTTTAAAACACTTTTTCCTTCACAAGATTCGAAGTCAGTAAACATTAGTAGACTGCGATGTCACAGAAAACTGATGTATCAAGAAAAAGACTAACAATGGCAAATATCTAGGTTTATCCTGGACAACAGTCTGTGACAATTATCACTTTTTCTTTGAATTCCATGTTTGCAGTAAATCAATCCAAGCAACTTCTAAGCTCCTTAAAGCTTTGCTTGATTTTTTTTTCATATGCATTCTGAACAGTTTCTTTCAACTGTTTTAACGTCATCTTGTCCCATCATATCTGATAAGAAAAAAAAAAATTAACTCAGGTTGACATCCTCCCTACCAGAGACGCAGAGCTATTGAATTATCTAAAGATGGTTCTAAATACCAGGCTTTAAATGATAACTAATCTGCAAAAAGCAAGCATTGTTTCCGACATGCCATGTCACATTTCTAACTTTTCACTCTGCATTGTGCTACATCCTGCAATGTCAGCTAAAGTGGAAAGCAGCAGTACACAACATGATGGGGTGACTTAAAATTGAATGAAAGCCACTATTCAGGCTGAGTATCCATTTTATGCCATCCATTAGGAAAAATATAAGGGCAAAGAATGAAAGGTTATTTTCAGAAACCATTGTTTGAAATAAGCTATGCTTCCTTGAACACTTACATAAAATGTATCTCTCTTCTCTATATCTTTACTCCGTAATTTATTATTGTGAAAGCCAATTTAAGAGATAAATTCTATGCCATTTCCCTAATCAACTTGCACTTATGCATGCTGTCGCTTCATTCAATAATATAGTTTTTGGCTTGAAATCATGGACCTTTTAAAATTTTGGAGTTGGAAAGGACCTGGGAGATAATATAGGTCAATTCATTTACTGCATTGATGAGGAAACAAAGCCAGGGTAAAAGAGAAGTGCTCAAAGTCACAATGCTAATTAGTGGCAAAGCTCCTGCTAGAACCTGCATCCCTTTTCAGTCAGTGCCTTTCAATTACACTGTGTGGGATGAAAGATCCTATGAGGAAATGCAGCAAGTGTAAGGGCACCTTGAGATTATTTACAACAGTATAAACAACAGACAATTAGAACTACCATGCTCTGATTGAATTTCTGCTTTCTTTTCATTTCTTGTCACATTTCAGTGGTTTCAGAGTGTTTGCTATTTACACAGAGTGGTCAAGAAACAAAATCCTGTGAACCTGATAAAATATGCTGGGTAATAAGCTACAAATAAAATGAATGGAAAACCCAAGAATAGACCAAAGAAAACAAGGGACAGAGCAAGAAACAAGGGAGAGAGCAGGCAATCTGGAGAGGAGAGAGCACTGATTGCCACCTAGTTATTGTTTTCATTTCTGAGATGATAAAACCAAGAATCAGGGCCATTAGCTTACCCAAGGTGACCAGGAAGCAGATGTTTATCAAATCCGGTCTCAGCTGCCTTTCCAACAGTTTCTAACCAGACCTTTCATAATTTCTTCTCAATTGCTTCCTAATAGAAATAAACATTATGCCAAATTTATCAATTCTAGTTAGGTTTTGAGAGATGCTAAAAGAGAAGAAGGACAAAGAGTAGAGTCACACCCTAGAAAGATAATTCTAAAAGCTGGCTGTATTTCAGGTAGTAGGAGAGACCTGAATGGAAGGATTTCAGGAGAAACACAGTCTCTCCTCCCATCTACCATGAAGGCCTAAAACAACAATCCCCGCTTTTTGTTAAGGATTTTTGTTCTTTGTGCACAGATTGCCCATACTGAAGTTTGTGCATATTACCTGCCTTCTTGCTCTCATTAACCAATTCAGCTTTGTCTTTACCTCTAGACTCCCTTAACTCTGTGACTGTGACATTCATTCCCAACTTCGCTTACTTTTTCAAATGCACATAAATCATTTGTTTAATAATATACCCTCCCTTCTTAAAAATAGAGACATGTATCCAGTTTAGGGGTGCTAGCATTTCCCCCATTGTCTCTGCTGCCTCAAGTGCTGTCACACAGTGATTTATGTCTCCATACGAACTAGACACAGGTGTCTAGACCTGAAAATCTGAACAATGTTCTCTGATGCTTTTCGTCCATATCTTGGTCTTCTTGCTCTCTTACGAGTTGTTCTTCCATTCTTCCTAAGCTAAAAAGCATTCTACCTAACCTAGGAAACAGATGCAAAAGAGGACTTGAAAGAATGGGTTTTTTCATTGTTGTTCATTGACCTTGCACTATCACTCCAAACTCTAAGCACTGACAATAACTTTAAAAGCCTCTTGTCCTCTTTGACATTTTTCAAAAGTCTCTGTTCTAAGTCTTAACCTTCCTGACTCTCTTCTTGAAGGCCCCCATGTGTATTTCATGTTTGTCCTAGGTCATTTACTCATTCTTTCTTTGAGTACAGCCTTTTAAACCCAAGTCTTGGTCCTCGGCCAGCTTTAGAGCTTCCACAGATATCACCCTTTTTGTTTCTTCATGAGGAAAGGTATATTTCAGAAATGTCTTTTCAAAATTACATCTTTAGAGCCTCCTTTTTCTCCTGAGTTACCTTGCCTATTAGAGTCTTAGCTGTG